CTGTTTTACAGTCCGCGAAGCACAGAAATTCGGATAAGGAATTATGTTAACCCGGGAGAAGGTGCTAGGCTTTTCCGGGTTCTGTGGTTTTAGCACCGTCGCTCAACTATTAATAATTGGTCTAATTATATGATTTATTACATATTGAAAACCTAGATGCATTTTAACTTTCAAACTGCTTTTAATGTTTATTTTCTGGAACAAGGCACGAAGCGCGCACTTGTTATTTTGGTACACATTGTGAACCGCGACACATGAAACTCACCCGCGATTTACAACATGCTTATTTTATTACTATTCGAAGTTATGGTCGGGTCACATGAAATGCACCACGCTTACACTATCCTTCGGGAATGTCAATCTAACTTTACCAATCCACCCCCTATTTTGGTTTATTGTAACCCAGCCGGATCTTGATAACCCGTCTTTCTCTTAAACCATATCCGTTTAGCTCCCATAGGGCATGACTAAGATAGGTGTGTCTGATTGTACATACCTCTGTTACAGTTGAATATAACTCAAAAAGCTTATATTTTTTCTGCTTGAATTATAAACACTGTTAACCTTCATTAACTGGGCGCCTCGTACTCTTTTTCATCTTGCTTCTTTTGCTTGTTGAAACTTGTATTTATCTTTTGAATCTCTCATTGCCTTTCACCATTAAGGTGGATAGGTATTCTTGCCTCAAGACTCCTTATCAAGAGGCTTACACCTTTCAGTACGCACATGATCTGCTGAAGACCTCACATTTACTTATTATAAGCATGTTGCAAAGTCGAGTTCCTCTGACTCAACTCTTCCATAGCCATGTCTTTTACCAACCGTCTTTCTGGACGTAGGTATCGTCTTATTACGAATAAAATAGAAGTTAGGAATTTTAATTCTTACAACTGAGCTCTACCCCACGATCTAGAGTAAGAAGAAAGAGTGACAGTCCTAAATTCCCTGTAGCCTCCTGCTTATAAGTGTGGTGCACGACACACCCATAAACAAGACTCTACTAGACACGGCTTGTAGATTCCCTAGGACAGAACTGCACTGATACCACTTTTGTCACGCCCCAAGCCCGGGAGCGAGACCGGCACCTAGTGCCTCATCTATCCTTCCGTACCACTTGCGATTAAGAGACTCTGAACATGTGATGTCATACTTTAGCCATGGGCCAATTGCAAGACAACTGCGAATGCTGACTAAATATCAATGTAAAGCTGGGCCACCAAGGCCGTCATAATTATTACTGCTGACAAACCTACCAAAAATACATACAAGGCCTGAAAGCCCAACATACTGCACTAACTGACAGGATATGTCTACAAGCCTCTACTGATGGATATATTGTAATCGGAACAACTCTCCGACCTACTCATAACATATATACGTATATGTACAATATATACATAAGGCTCTAGACCCGAAAACTCTGAAATGCATGGAGCTTACCGATCAAGCTGAACTCGGGCAACACTTAATGAGGAGGCCTACCCGTCAGTCTGTCTGAACCTGCACGCATGAAATGCAACGCCCCCAGAAAAGGGACGTCAGTACGAAATAATGTACTGAGTATGTAAGGCAATATACTGAAAGCTGAAACTGAACTGATAATACAATAACTGCAAGTAGCTGGAAGTCAAGGATAATCTGAAGATATGCTTACCTGCTGATACTGACTCAGCTCTCTCAATATAGTAAGTAAAATATCTGTCCGGCCCTATAAGGCTCGATATATATATAACTGCTCTGCCGTAGTAGGCTCGCTCATAGGCGCTCGGCCATACTAGGCTCTGTATCACGACCAACTGGGCTCGCTCATAAGCGCTCGACCACAGTAGGCTCGGTATATATATATATATAACTGCTTTGCCGTAGTAGGCTCGGTCATAGGCGCTCGACCATACTAGGCTCTGTATCTCGACCAACTGGGCTCGCTCATAAGCGCTTGGCCACAGTAGGCTCGGTATATAACTTACCATCTGATCCGAGGTTGCCTAATAGGGGCCTGCCCACCGATTATAGCTCGATGGTAATGAAAATACTTTTAATACTGTATATATGTAAACTCTCTGCTCTCTTGACTGGAAGAAGGAAATACACGACCGAATATGAATTCCCCATAAGGAGAATATAGTAATTTACAAAACTAGAAAAATATACGTAACTTGCGGGACTAGCAACATATACGCAAATTCCGGGATATAAATTTTTCTTTATGCCTCGTTATCAAACTTGTATAATGACGAGATCATGCCAAAATGAAGGAAGGGCTTAGCCTTAACATACCTGTTCCCGGAATTATTTGAACGAATTTGCTTCTGCAAATTATGGACGAAACTCTGCTTTGAAACTCTCGAAATTTAAAAACGAACTTGGTAGCTCTTTGAAATTGAAACGTTAGCTAACATTGAATTGATGAACGAAAAATGATTCTGCCTTTTGGTTTAAATCAGAATTGGCTAAAAATTTGTAGCTCTTTCACGTTTTTGGTTTAAGATAGAATGCCAAATGCTTTTTTTGATCTTGAATGAAGTGCTTACCCATTGTAATTGTCCCCACTTCATGTAGTATTATCAAGGGAAGAAATAGCACTATATATTAGTCTGAACTCTGAACCTTGTTCAGTTCCAAACCACATTAACCAATGTATTATGTATATGGTAGGAAGTGCAACGTTCTTGCTATATGAAGTATCCAAAATCTTTTACAAGACTTGTTAATTACAAAGTGATAAAGAGGTGTCTTCTAGTTAGTAATTAGGTGCCACCTAACCCAAATCTAGTAAGAGTCATCCTCTTTGTATTGGGGCTCTTCGCCACGTTTTTGGGGAACATTTACCTTATCTCATAATTTAATAATTTACTAGGTAATGTTTCGTCACCCGATAATTAATCAATTACCCGATTATCCACGTAATTAAGAATTATTCCAAATTACTTATAATATTACTTACTTTAAACACACCTTATATACTTTACTATTATGGCCATGGGGTACCTCATATGGTACTAGTCCATAAATATCGAGTATTAACGCGTGACCCATATTTTATCCCAAAATGCCAAACTTGGACAAAATTCATATTCTTTGACTTGCTCCCCCTTTCACCTTCATGAATTCACTAATCGCTTGTGAAATAGCATAATCCTTATAATCTCCAAATAATCTTTTACTTGAACTAATGTCAATTACCTTACGAAAAATTTAACGTACAATACTTTAGGGTGCAACATCGTCGTAATTTAATACTGCAAAGCGTGACATCATCGTAATACTGCGGGGCGTAACAGTATCCCGCATAATTTAAGTGCATGATCTATATAAAGTAAAATTTTAATATTTTAAAGTTTTAAATATTAGGACTTTTAGTCAAAATAATAAAAAATATAATAAATAAAAGTATTATTAATTTTAAACGTCTAAAAAGTATGAAAATAATTAAATGACTTATTAAATAAGGTATTTTTTTTAATAATAATTAACATTAATTTTAGGGGACTTCAGATTTTCTTTTTTGTTTATAAAGATCAAGTTTAAAATGGAAAAAAGTGTTTGTTTTAAATTAGTCTTTTGTTGTAGGTAAACATTAATTCTTTAATAGTATCTTATTAAATATACCAAAATTAAAAATATAATAGGCACATTATCTCTTATTAATAAAAGGAATGTGAAAACAAACGTGGTAGAAGTATGTTTGTGGTTTTTTCTTTCTTTTTATAATTCTTTAAGGCAAAATTTCAATACTTGATTTTGAAGTCCTAAAAATTAGGATTACCTATTTTAAATAAGGAAGTATGTAATATACACAATACAATTAATGTTGAAGCCCTAAATTTTAGGAAAATAACTTAAATTTCTATTTCATCCGGTATATAATATATTTTTAAAGGGTAAAAAAGGCGAACGACATTTCGCTAAGTACCTTCGTACTTTTAACATGGTATATATACATATATATTAGGTATTTAGTTTATGCACATGCCTACTTGTTGGGTATTTAGTTTCTTTTAAACTATGGTGGTGATGGTATATACAACGCTTCTTATAGAAATTAAAATTAAAACTTTGGTTAGTTAACTCACTTTTCTTAACCAAGCAAGAATATTCATCTTTCTTCTATTATTTCTATCATGTTGTACTCGTGAACTCTGCTCAGAGGGAACACATAACCATGTCCTCAGGATTCCAGAGTCTCGAGCATTACGAGTGTCTGATGCATTTGGCAATCTAGCCGGCTTGGTTTGCTGCATCAGAAGGAGCAGTCGGAGGAATAACTATTCTTGAAGGATTATAATTTAGCGCTAACTCATTCTTTGTATGTTCCACTAAACATAAAAAACAATTAGCATCCAAGATTAATAACAATATTAAACTGGCCAACAAAATTATCACTTTCCGAACACTAATTAATAAACCTCTTAATTTTTTCCACTTCCAGTTCTTCAACTCATCGGTACATGCAACACGGAGAGAGAGATTGTTGCACATGTTAAGAAGGAAATAGATTTTACAGAATCATAATCTTCCTGTAACTTTTTTTTCTCCATGTTTCTTTAGAAAAACCACAAACTTGTTTGACCACAAAGCTCAGAATACGTCTTCGCTTCTGATTCCTATAATGTTGGCCAATAGCATCATATGTGAATTTTATTTCAGCCACAATTTGATTGTAGCCTTCAAACAACTCTGCTAAATGCAAAATAGATAGTCAAAGAATCGTGCTTTCTTACAAAAGAAATTTAACGACAAAATCCTGTCCCGGACATCAAAGAAAGAAAACTGTAAGTTTTCACTTTATGTGGCATCATAGGGACATCCTCTGTAATCTCTTAAACATAACATGGAAATAAAGTTAATATGAAAAATTATCCTTATTTTCCTTTCATTCATATCATGTTATCATGTAACAGAACCAAGTGTCATTAACTCATAATTGTAATATGGCAAATCAGGTGATACTTGACATGTATGTATAGTACTGAGTAAGCCAGCAGGAAATCCGTTAGTGCTAAATTGAACAATATTCAATAGACTTTCTCACCTTAAAGGAGTTTTACATCCATAGAACTCTAACGTCCTCAGCCACGAATATTGAATAGTATAAGCAACTGGTTACATGTAATTATCACTTATAAGGGTGCTGTTTTTTGCTCAAATTGTTACTTTTAGACCATAGCTCATGCCTTGAACAAATTCAACTGTCAATTCATGTCAAGCACATACATCATACAAAAAGGAAATTATTCATGCACAGATAGGTCATGTCTTACTACAGAAATCTTCTGTAAATCTCCAACAGAAACATTCAAGGTTTCTTCTTTGATAAGGCAGACCATTATATTTCGTTACCTCCTTCTGTAGTAATGCCAAGAAATGCTTAAAACGTTAAAGCTCCAGTAGTACAATATTCCTCTAACTGAAAAGAATATATACTAACTATAAATAATCAATAGAAAAACTTTCATTTCTCTAACTGAAAAGAATATATACTAACTATAAATAATCAATAGAAAAGCTTTCAAGTGTAAAAGAATATAACAGAAAAAGTCTCTCAAGTTGCCTATACGCGGAGAGCTTGTTAGTCGAAAAACTATCAATCTTGTTTAGACAAACAACAAATTTAACATTCTAACCTTCTGTAGAAATGAAAAAAGTATCTCCCATCAGAAGAGCAATTACTCCATCAACTCATGGAAAATGCTGCGACGTTCTTGTCAACAGGATTATCGATCTTTAGCTTTCCAGAAAAGTATGTGTTTGAAATCAGGGGAATAGGTTTTTAGCATTAAATTCACTATACTTAGTATAAGGGCAGTAGAAAACACGAGTTCATAATTGTATAATCCATTGTCATTTGATGTCATACGAACTTAAAAAATTACAAATGCACAAAACACCTATACACTTTTTTTTCGAAAAAGTTCAAGTGCAAAGTTTTGCAGAATAAATTCATTCTAAGTATCTCCTTTGAAACTTATTCCTACAATATTGGTTAATGTACATAAATATTACAAGCTATATTCACTATAATGTTTGATAATCTATCCTACCATACTAACTGTGATGTTTAATTGTTTATTGTGTATAATTTTTGACAATGCCAAACCAGATAGCATGTAGGAAAGAGTTCACATGGGAGAAACTAAGTAAATATCCACAGAGAGAGAGAGAGAGATAGATAGAGGGGGGGGGGGGGGGAGGGAGGGAGAGAGGTTTTTGGTCGTCCTTAATCTTTTGTACACTCTAACAACTGGAAGGCTACAATGTTATCATCTTTCATTAGACTATGTCAAGAACTAACTTGAAATATGAAGTCATGAAAAATCCTCATACCTCCTTTTTTTTCTAGAAGGTAACATAAATTTTTATGGCACGTTTGTGGAACTGATTGTAAATTTGTGATCCTAAGTATATTCGCAGATAAGCAATAAAGGCCTTTATAGAAAAGCTACTGTAATTTGCTTCTAAGCATCTCATTCGACTGCCTAATTTTCTTGCATTGATTGTAGAAGTTGAACTAATTGATAAACTATAAATCAGTTTGCATAGTTACTTAAAGGAACATTTTTAACCAAGTTCTCTTCATTGCAACTTTTAAGCTGCTAAAGATTACTGATCATTTCAGGCTTAATACCGTACATAGACACTACACTGCATAAAATTGAGACTAAGACTCTGTGCAAGCTTATCATATAATCATCTCATATTGCTGATCCTAAAAAAAATCAATTGTGATGGATCAGACAAATACTACTATTTTGTGGAGCGAAGTTGACTAACCTTCCATGGTGCCAGCAATCCTGTGAAGGCTGGAAACCTTCAATCACAAATTAGGTATACCTGAATTCTCACTTAGGGCGTTGGTTATTTCAGCTGATCCCTCTGTCATATATGCTTTCACCTGAAAATAATCAGAATAAGATTTGTGAACTCCATTACACCAAATAAAATGAGTTAGGCATATCATCAAACACCTTAGATGCATAATCCACTTCAACAACTATAGTATTATTTATGCTCACATTAAACAAAAACAAAGCAAGGAACACAAGTGGCTGAAAAATATTAAAATATGCAGGTGTGATATTGTCTTATGTTTTATCCTTTAGAAGAGATTGAAACACAAGCCGGTGAAGCATATACATCAGGCATATATTCGACGTGGCAGTTCGAGAAATTTTGGAAGAAAACAAATTTTAGAAAAATGAACGGAAAGAGGCATGTAATCATAGCGGAGATCGAGACAAATCTTGGGTGGGCTAGCTTTGCAAACAAAATTCATACTTTTGATACTTCAGATTTTTTATGAGACGATTTAATTTTGGAGTAGCTAATTTGTACCAAAAGAGAATTAATCAAAAGACATCATGAAATAATTATCCAAATCATCAACATTCATCAAGGTATAAAGTTTTAGGCAGGCATGTGAAGATTAGATACGTACAATTATTAAGACTCATATAAATTGTAGAATATAACACGAATTACCAACAAAAAGGCAACAAGCAAAGATAGACCGGGGAACTTACCAGAACTGAGAGCTGAAACTAACATATATCCAAAAAAGTGCAATGAACGAAGAAAACTGCAGAAATACTCACCATCAAAGAAATATAGAATTTTTTTAAAAATTACTCCTACCAAGTAGTGAAAGAGAGAGGAAGGAGAGAACTGGAAAAAGGAGGTAATACGCCTAGATGACCATTTAGACTATTAAGGGCATCTCCAATGCTAGCACCATTTTTTTCACCAAATTTCACACCAAAATGATCTAACACCAAATTTACTTCAATTATTACACCATTTTTTACACCAAATTTTCTCTCTCTTCTATATTATATTATTATCTTCTATTTATTTTTCATTTTTTTTCCTTCAAACTAATACTATCTTTTTTCTTTTTTCCATATTCATTATATATAATTTACATTCACCACTTATATAATCATTTATTATAAAATTATTTTAAAGGATAAATTAATTAAAAGTGAAATTATTGATAAATTATAATTAAATAAATGTTACATCATAGTCAAATGTAATTTTATTGACGAACTTGAATTCCATTGACGATCCAAATCTTCGTGAATTTTTGCGACAAGAACAAAAACGAATAATCGATAAAAGAAGTCAACAATTTCAACAACCACAACCACAACAATCTTCTACCCCGTTCTCTCAGTATTTTGGTAATTTTGGTGCACCTGGAAATGACATAGGGGATTACTAAACTTATGTTTTATGTTTTTAATGTAATTTCAATTTTAATGTATCCTCTTTTTATGTACTTTAATTATAATATATTTTTATTTTATGTATTATTAATTTTCTTTTTCAAATTTTAGTTTTCACTTTTCAATTTTAGCAACATTAGATATCTTACATTTGCATTTTTTATTTTTAAATAATATTTATATTTCTTTTTATACAATTATAATAATAACAAAATTAACTTATAATTTTATATAAATATAATATATACAAAAATTAATATACCAAAAAATAAGATATAAAATTAAAATTATAAAGATCTTAATATAAAAATTAATTATATACCCAATATATGATAAATTAAAATTATAAAAATAAAAAGATTGAATAAAATATTAATAAATCAAAATATAGAGTGATGAATAGTGTTGCACCAAATTTGGTGCAACACTATTCATGCTCTATAATAGTGCAAGAAATAATGTTGCATTGGAACAAAAAAATACCATTTCTTGCACTATATTTGGATTTGGTGCAAGAAATAGAGTACCATTGGAGATGGTCTAAGTGGTATGGAAAAGAATAGTTCTACACGTATTTATAAAGTAGTACATGCGTCACAGAAAAGTAGCAGTTAATGCTTGGATGACAGCGAAATTACAATATTACCCTAAAAGACTCCACAGTTTTGAAAATACAATTCTTGTTGCTTATTGTACAACCACATGTTGCAGTGTTCGTACACTTCTTCACATTTATATATAGTAGTAAATATTCATTATTCATCAATAAAAAATGATTGGAGTATTAGTCTCTAATTAAATTGTTTAGTACCAAAATTATAATGTATCGAACAAGTGGCTTAATGTAACGATCCGACCGGTCGTTTTGCTTTCTAGAAACCCGTTCCCCTAAATAAGACTCTTCGTACGTACTTTTACTATTTTATGACTTGCGGGGATGGTTAGTTCGCGATTTGGAAGGGTTCGGGTTAAAATCGGGACACTTGATTCCTTAAGGTTGGCTAAAAAGGCTAAGTTTGACTTCTGTCAACGTTTTGAGTAAACAATCTTGGAATCGAGATTTGACTGCTCTAATGGGTTCGTATGATGATTTCGGAATTGAGCGTATGTTCGGATAGGGTTTTGGATGACCCGGGAGTGTTTCGGCGCCTAATAGTGAAAGTTGGCTCTTTGGAGGTTTTGAAGTTCTTTAAATTTGGTTTGGAGTAGGTTTTGGTGATGTCGAGGTCTAAATAGGATTTTGAGACCAGTAATAGTTCCGTATAATGACTTAAGACTTGCACGCAAAATTTGATATTATTCCGAGTAGTTTAAGTATGATTCGGCGCGTTCAGAGCGATTTGGAAACTTGAAGTTCATATCTTGATTCAATTTGGTTTTGGGGTGTGATTCTAGGTTTTGTTGTTGTTTTACGCGTTTCGAGAGTTCAAGCAGGTCCGTATTATGTTTATAGACTTGTTAGTATAGTCGGACGGGGTCCCGAGGGGCTCGGGTGTGTTTCGGACCACCCGGAGCTAAGTTGAGGAAACCAGATTTTTCAAATTCTGGTTTCCTTCTTCGCGAATGCGGGAGGGCCATCGCGTTCGCGGAGAAGGATTTTGGGGCAGTGAGCAATTGCTCTTCGCATTCGGGAAGCCCTATGATCCTAGGCCTGCGCATTTGCGAATCCCCTCTCGCGTTCGCGTAGAGGAAAGGGGCCGAGGAGGGTCAGTGCACATTGCCCTTCGTGTTCGCGTAGGTGCAATCGCGTTCCCGATGCCCAAGCAGCTCAAGCCTTCGCGATCGCGAGGCTGTCCTTGCGTTCGCGACGCAGGGATTTTTCTGGCCATGAAATTTTGCCTTTGCGAACGCGAGTCTTCTTCCGCATTCGCGAAGGAGGGGGTTTCAGCAAGGCAGAACTTCGTTTTTAAAAACAGGACTTAGGCCTTTTCCTCTCATTTTTCACACACTTGGGCGATTTTGGAGCTTCAAAAAGGGGGATTACGACCTAGCTATTTGGTTAAGTAATTTCTACTTATTGTTAGTTAAATATATAGTTTATGAGAAGATTATAACATGTAAATTAGTGAAAATCATGGGTTTAGGTGAATACCTATGTTTTTGATAAAAATGGGATTTAACACCGAAATGGTTACGAAATTTAGTGAAAATCATATATTTGAATTCATGCGGTTATGGGTAACAACTTTCTTCAAAAATTTTCGAAATCCAGGCACGTGGACCCGGGGGTGAATTTTAGGAATTTTTCAATTAGGGTTGGAAAATCACTTTAATAGCTAGGAAATAAACTTTTGAACGTGTATTGACTATTTTATATAACAATTGACTAGTTTCGAGTCGTTTGACACCAAGTTGAGAGTTGAAGCACAATTTGGACCGGAAAGTAGGCTTTGAGACGAAGTAAGTCTCTTTTCTAACCTTGTAAGAGGGAATTAACCTCATATATGAATTGATTAATATGTGCTCCTAATTGTGGGGGCTATGTACTCACGAGGTGACGAGAGTACGTACGTAGCTACTAATTATGCTTAAGTCCGGGTAGTCTAGGACCCATACGATGCTATACTTATGATGTCTGCACCCTACTTGTTAACTTAATCGCTTAAGTCATTTCGGAACTTGATGAAGGAATTGTAAAAGGTGAAATTTCACTTACGTGAAATTGTTTGGGTCACTAGACTGTTATTGAGAATTGGTGTTTCTTTGAATATTAGCCTCTTAATAAATCTTGAATTGACTGTTTATAAAGTATTTTCTCTTCTTGTAGAGCGGGCCGAATGCCTTGGTTGCAGATAGATGCATCTATGGTTCGTGCCGTTCGACCCTCGACAGTGTACAGTTTAAATATTTTTATGTTGGATCGGGCCATACGACCTCGGTTCTGCCCAGCTCCCCGAAAACAACGTTCGAGGGGGCGACTGAAAAGGAGGCTCGACCCACAGGGAGAGCGGTGAGCAATAAATTGCGGCTAATAAATCTTTGGAACCAATTATAATTGATATTGCTTCATTGGCTTGAGATATAAATTGTCAAATGATGGAAATAATTTTGGGAGTTACTATTTGTGAAAAGATTGTTTATTATTTCCTGTTATTGAGTTTTCAGTTACATTTATGTAATCCATGCTTAGTTAAAATTTTGACATTTTATTGTTAGCCCATAGTAAGTGTAACGATCCGGCCGGTCGTTTCATGAGTTATAGCCCCGTTTCCCTCATTTCTGCTTCCTTAGGTGTTCCTCGGTTATATTTCATCATATTATGTTAGTTGGTTCGGGTTCTAAGTGGTTTTGGAGTGAATTGAGGCACTTAATCTCTTTTGAGAAGGCTTAAGTTGGAAAAGTCAACCGGATGTTGACTTATGTGTGAACGATCTCGGATGTGAATTCTGATGGTTCGGGTAGCTCCGTTAGGTGATTTTGAACTTGGGAGCAGCGTCCGGAATGTGATTTTGAGGTCCGTGGTAGAATTAGGCTCGAATTGGCGAAATTGAAAATTTGGCGATTCTTGGTCGGCAGTGGAAATGTTGATATCGAGGTCGGAAGGGAATTCCGGAAATTGGAGTAGGTCCATAGTGTCATTTGTGACGTGTGTGCAAAATTTCAGGTCATTCGGAGGTGATTTGGTAGGTTTTGGCATCGTTTGCGGAATTTGGAAGTTTAGAAGTTCTTAGGCTTGAATCCGAGGGTGATTTGATGTTGCTTTGAGTGTTCCGAAGGTTTGACTAAGTTCGTATGTTGATATGTGACTTGTTGGTATGTTTGGTAGAGGTCCCGAGGGCCTCAGGCTGATTTCGGTTGGCTGGCGAATCAAGGATGAAATTTGGAGAAATGCTTAAGATTTCCTTCAACTGTCATAACCGCACCTGCAGAGTGGGGATCGCAGGTGCGGTGGCCGCAGAAGCGGAAGAGGACCGCAGATGCGGGATTTGGGAAGATGAGGCTGGACCGCAGGTGCGGAAGATGGAGCGCACCTGCGAGACCGCAGGTGCGAGGAATGGACCGCTGAAGCGGCCTTGGGCGATTAAGTGAAAACCGCAGGTGCGGTTGTTTGGACCACAGAAGCGATTGCGCAGGTGCGAGAATAAGGCTGCACGTGCGGAAATGCCTGGGCAGAAGGTATAAATTGAACCCTTTGCGCATTTGAGATTTTTTTCAACATTCTTGTTCGGACTTGGAGCTTTTTGGAGGGTTTTGAAGAGGGAATCAAGGGGATACGCATTGCGGTAAGTTACTTGAGCTCAATACTTGTGATTATGGTAATTTTCAGTTGTTTAAGCATGAATTTGGTAGAAATTAAGGATGAAATTGAGGGGTTAGGGCTTGGAAATTGGAGAGTTTGAATTGAAGATTTGAGGGACCATTTGATGTCAGATTTTGATGATTTTGGCATGTATAGACTCATGAGTGAAAGGAGTTTCTAGTTTTGTGAGTTTTGTCGGATTCCGAGACGTGGGCCCGGGGGCCGGGTTTGGGTGAATTTTGGGATTTTGGTCTAAATTGATAATTTTTCGTATGGAATTGGTTTATTGGCCAATA